TTTCGAAGTTATAAAAATTTTGTAGCTGGGATCCCCGGGTCGAAGTACGAGTATACTGTTGTTGATAAAGCAAGAAAGTCATGCTCAGAGAAGCAGCCTAGAAAGAACAAAGGAAAGCGTCATCCAGATGCAAATTCGAACGACATGGGGTTCGATATGGTGGTCAGGAACTCCAAGAGAAGAAGAATAGGATGGGGCTACTCTCAGCCCATCGCTGTGGGTGATCAAATTTCTCGACATAACAGCTATGTGATTTCATCAAGCTTGAGGGGTGCTTACTCTCCGGTTAAAGGAAAAACCAACCACAGCATCCCACTGAACATGAGCTACAGCATGAGCTTCCAGCTGAATGAGTCTACTCATGTTCAAGTCTTCTCTGAAGGAATTTATGATGCTGAAACAGGAAAACTTTGTATGGTGGGCTGCAGATATCTTGACTCAAACAGTCGGACATCAGACAATGATTCATTGGACTGTAAGATTCTTATAAATGTCCAGTTCCCTCCAGTAGATTCAAATGATTATATCCAGGGAAACATTGAAAGCACAGGGAAAAAATCTGATCCCCTATACTTCGAGCCTCTTTCTTTTTCTGCAGTTTCATTTTACCGTCAGCATTCGAGGGAGTCAATATGGAGGATGGATCTGGAAATCATCATGTCTTTGATCTCTAATACTCTCGTTTGTGTCTTTGTGGGATACCAGATCTTGTATGTGAAAAAGCATCCCGCTGTTTTCCCTTTCATCTCACTTATCATGCTTCTCGTCCTTACTCTCGGGCGCATGATCCCTCTAATGCTGAATTTTGAAGCTTTGTTTGTGCCAAAGGAAAGTCGCACAACATTCCTTCTAAGGAGTGGTGGATGGGTGGAAGTAAATGAGGTAATTGTAAGGGTAATCACGATGGTAGCTTTCCTGCTGCAATTCCGACTTCTGCAGCTTGCATGGTCTGCACGATTCGCTGATGGGAAACAAAAGGCGTTCTTGGCTGCTGAGAAGAGGACACTCTATTTGTGTTTGCCACTATATATATCTGGAGGTTTAATTGCTGTGTATGTGAATTGGAGGAACAACAAGGTTGGTGAGGGAATGGAGTACACTTACAGCAGCACTTATCAGCGTTCCCTTTGGGTGGATTTAAGATCTTATGGTGGTTTGGTACTCGATGGTTTTCTCTTCCCTCAAATCCTCCTCAACATTTTCCACAACTCCACAGAAAATGCCCTCTCTCGTTTCTTCTACATGGGAACCACATTTGTGCGCTTGCTCCCACATGCATACGATCTATACAGGGCTAACTACTATGTTGAAGATTTTGATGGTTCATACATGTATGCCAACCCAGGTGGAGATTATTATTCCACTGCCTGGGATGTCATTATTCCTCTAGTGGGCCTTCTTTTTCCTGCTATCGTCTACCTGCAGCAGCGCTTCGGTGGTCGTTGTTTCATGCCAAAAAGATTCAAGGAGGTAGAAGGATATGAGAAAGTACCAGTGGCTAGTGATGCATAAATTGTGGTTCGAACTTTCGCGATCATGTGATTTTTATCACCACACTCTCCCCCTCTCCTCGCCGTTTGTGATGGGGCTAAAATATTAGGACCCCTGCTATTATAAAATGACTAATAAATCTTCTTGTGTGATTTTACATGTAATTTGTATGCTGCGCGCAGCACAGTGTTTCTGCCTTTGTATATATACATCTGTGGAAGCGAAAAAGTTTCTGTTGTGAATGCTGCCGATTTCAAATCCTGACTTTATATCTCTTGCTTGCAAAGACTTCCCTGGATGATCATATCTACATTCGCAATTACAAGTAGATAGGAAGACAATATATATGCTCTAGCAATTCAAAATGCACCGGCTTTTTACTCAAGTTGAAGCCTTGTCGCTCCCTGTTTCCAGTAAATGAAGGTACGTTTTAACAGCTTAAACTCCATTAAACATGAGTCTGTGCTCAGATTTGTGGTGAAATACCGAGAAGCATCATACGATTCCGGCCATTTTCATCATTTTCCTTGAACTTAAAAGATAGATGTCAAGTGTTCACTCCGTTGGTAGAAAGTCAAAATGAGCTTCTGTTTTCTCATCGTTTTCAGAGTCCAACAAATAAAAGATCGTAGTCACTCAGTAGGGCTGTCCATGATTTAGTTCGGTTTGGCTTCAGAAAACAACCAAACCGAGTTCTACTAATTTTGAAAAACATAAACCAGTCCAAACTAAAATTTGGTTCAAACCAAACCAGTTTGGCTTAATTCAGTTAAGTCCGGGATTTTTTGTATAAAATCAGGAAACTTAATTCCCTTCTCATGCGCGTCTTGCACACATGAGAAGGAAACTCAGGATTAAAAAAACCTATGGGCCGCGCCATGTAAACATCAATATCAAGAAAACCATTAAGCAGTAGTTGCTAGATCACTGAAAGTCTCATCAAAGTCAAAATGGATTTTTTTTTTTTTATTACACCTTTTGGCTACCAAACAAGCCTTAGAATGCTAAAAAGATTCATTAGCTTTCTGTTTAATATTGAACACCCACTCGCAGCAAACAATATTCATTGACTGATCAAAACAAACCAAAGATCACGTATTATTATGAGCCAATACATCGATTTCTGCATTCATCACCAAATTCCACGATAATACAAAAAAGGAGGTGATGGTTCCGAGATGATATAGTAATCGCGGTAATGATGGAAAAAAATATGGTATAAAGATGATGATGACAACAAAGGAGGTGATATAGTGAGATGGAGATAAGTTTTGAAATTGTCAACTCATATTGTAAAACAATTATTATTTATAAAATATTTTATAAAATTTCATCAGTTGGAAATATCTTTTAGTAAATAAATTAAGTTTGAAGAGTAATTATAAAATATATTTTTTAATCAATATAAAATATTTTTTACAGCAACAAATATAAAAATATATTTTTAAAAAACAAATGTGGGAAAATCTACAGAGTATTTTTCATGAAAATATTTTTTTTTTTTGTAAAAAGACCTAGCATAGTAAAGTGATTGTCTGTTCCAGACAACACGTTATTCGTGCACCCTGCAACGGGCCGCAAGACCTCCATGGTCAACTCCATTGGTCTTGCTATACCAAACCTTGACGACATATCACTCGCAGAGAGTAAACTTGGATTTGCTTGGAAAGTTCCTAGTCTTTGCTCTTTTGCTGAAAATGAAATCTCCGACATTTTATTTTTCTATATACACAGGAGTAGCTAGCTTGCTAGATGTTTTTGTATTCAAGTTAAAATTAGGAATTTCAGAATTTTCTCTATTTCTCTGGTTGTTTTTTTAATTCTTATTCTTATTTAAAATAAGACTTTTAATTTAATAAGGATTTCACCATGTGGGATATTTTTCTCGTATTTAAATATCCTTTTAGGCTATTTTAAGAAGAGAATTTATAAAAAGAAAAATAATAAACTATCAAAGTTTCTTCTGTGGTTAAAGGCAACAATCTTATGCTCGAGAATCTTAGCTTTTCTCTATATATAACGTTTAGGATGAGAAGACTTTAGGGATTGAAAAATATTATCCATGTCAATTGGTGTCAAAATAAATTAGTATATATGATGACCGGAGGTATGGCCAACAACTTCTCATTCCACAATTTAAAAGTGGGGACCACTTAATTTAGGGCAAAGAATTAGTTATCTATACTAGGTTAAGTAAAGTGTTCATTAGCAAAAAATACAAATGCTTGAAACATTTAAATAGTAGGTGTAGATAAGAGTGGTGACAAGGAGAAGAATGTGCTCAACCACCACTTACCTTGGAGTGAAGAAAACCACTTATCTTGGAGTGAAGAAAACCCTAGTTTTATTTCTAAAAACTCATATAAACATCATATTTGTATGAAAAATAATATTTATAAAAGATGGAGCGTTAAAGACCTAATTCATAATCATTCTATTCGTAGATATATTTCTTATTATAATGAGATTTCTTTTTTGATAGGGATTTTTAAAAAAAAACCTTTATTAGATTGTTTTTGGAGTTGAAAAATTATTTTTATTTGAACAAGATTCTTTATTATCAAAAAGTAAAAAATTTGTGATTATCAAAAAGTAAAATCAGAGGTTTGTTAACCACATGCCCCATCACATCATGAAGAGGCGATGTTTGGTTACCGGACGATCCTGCACTTACCACTCAAGGATGCAAAGGTCACCCATGTGATGATATATATTTTTTTAATAATATTTATATATTTTAAAATTATAAAATAAATCCTCATGAACAAGATTATAATAAAAAACTTCATAATAAAAAGACAAAAACATCTATGGATGTAAATTTAAATTTTATTTTTATATTTTAAGAGTAATTAAGCGATTCATTGAGCTTAAAAATTGAAAGGATGAAAAAATCTCTTTAAGAAGGTTTAATATTTTTTTTTGTTTTTAAGAATAATTAAGTTATTTCATTCTTTTTAAAGGTAATGGATACTTATAGTTTTTTTTTTAAAAAAAATTAATTACTTGACACGTAAGCAATTTATAGGTGTCAGTCGTTCAGATTCCTAGCAAGCAAGAGAGACTGGAATCTTTCAAGTGTTAATATCTAGCCATTGAAGTTAAAAATACTACTTAAACAAAGAAAAACACTTGCTATTGGTTTGAGTTTTTCTATGTCAAAGAGCAAGACATTTGGATTTAATCTTTGGAGTTAGAGAGCAGCAATGATAAAATCATGGATTTTGCTTGGGAGCCTACCGGGCAAGAGATTTGCGGGTCAGGGTGCGGTGTTTGATGATAGCAGCAAACACGTCCGTCCATCCCTGAATCCTGACCATTCCAAAACGCACATTCACAGCATTTCTTTGCACGGAGCACGAATATTGCCAGTTTCAATTAGATGACATTCCGCTTTGAAATATGCAAATACATGAGAATCCAATCAATGGAGACAGCACAATCAATTCCCTCTTCCACAAGCAGGATGATTTCAGAAAAGGGTCACAAAAAACTGGCTTCTCATGAAAAAATTTAAATATTGTGCTAACACAGTAAAGGCACTCATCATGTACAGAAAATATCATTCAATTAGAACACCGTGTTTGCTAAACAGTAACGTATAACAAGGTGAGTCTCGCTGTGACAAGAAAGAAATGTCCTGGAAAGCACTAGAATCAACACTTTTTTACACATGAATCAAGTGGCCGTATCTTAGAGCATGCTGTAATCAGCTTCATCACTCGTGCCTATGTAACACATTATGGCAATCACAAAAACAAGGAATGATGAAAGCTCCATTGCTAGAGCTCCCCAGCCAATAACACCAGCATGCTTTAAGACAACTGGTATTGCAATGCTTCCAATTACTGATGCTCCGGTCAGGAACTTCGTTGCGTTGACCCAACTGTTTCATCAGTAATCATGATGCGTGGCATTAATAACTGCTTTAGCACTCATTTTTAAGCCGACAAAAAGTCAAATCCTGACCTGGAATCATTTAAATGTTAAAGAGTCTTACCCACTATCAGATTCTGTAAGAAGCGAGGAGCTATCGGAGCCCACAAAGAACAGCAAGGGCATTGGAAGAGGCACATACATTATTACTGTAAGAGAAAATGAGTTGTCATCATCATGGCTAATTTCAATTTTAGATACTATTAATGACAAATAAAGGCCACTCTCATTTCCTCAAGCATCAAATTTATCTGCATGCAAAATTATTGAGGAATACAAAGCACCATCTATTGGAAATGGAAAAAAACCTAACAAATTCAATTAAAGAGGCAGAACCAAAAGAGTCTTGCATGTTCAGTAGTCAAAATCACATGATAATTATATGTACAAATTCAAACCAATCGACACCACACGCCACAATCCAGCAATAAAGAAGTATGCCAAATCTTATTCCTAGATAGTAATATGAAGTATGACTTTCCCGAGACTAGTGTATGAACCTACCCGAGCAAAATTTAAAACGAAATAAAAATCATGCAAGCAAGCACTAAAGTGTGTGCGCGCTCTTGTCAGTTCCATGTGCATATAATTTAAGGAGGATAAATGAGGTCATATAACAGGGTGCTGATATTCGTTCTCAAGCAAGAAAGTAATGTTAAGCAAGGTACAAGAAAATAGCATACTTTGCTTTCATTTACAAGGAAAGCAACAAATGACAAGTAGATAGAATCACCAGAACCTCTAACATGCATAAATATCAACTTTAGTTCTGGAATAGAAGTTTAGAACTAATATAAGAGCGCAGAAAAAGGTATCCAGCATTACAGATCACTTGGAGCAAAATGAACTTGTGCTAATAGTGTCCGGCAGGGTTATGTCTCCAGGAATGTAGTAGATGATAATGGTCAGAATTGCTAAAGTGTCAGCACGCCAATTTGCCAATTGTGAAGAGTTGTGAGTCTTTGGAAAGGGTTTTGATGAGCAAGGGATTTGTAACAAAGGCATGGCACAATAGGGATAGGTTCAGTTAGCTGGTTGACACAACTAGAAATTGTAAGGAAAAATCTCATGATAATAGAGTGGATGCTTAAGCAAATTCAGATTTAGACAACTAGTCCATCCAGAATCATAACTTCAGCTGATACAAATTCTTGCACAACATGCATGATAGAGGGCATGCAATTTATCAGAGGCCATATTTTCAATCACAACTTATCTCCTTACACGTGAGTAGAATACTTTAGAACCAAAGAAGAAGCTTTAGACTATCTTTTAGGATTCCAGCGCATGAGTACAATATGAAAATGATAGTGTGAGTGGAAATAAAGGGATTCCTGTAAATATGAACCTTGCATTTTCGGGAACATGGTATATATTTCTAACTTTCAACAACTAGATTATGCAGACATGAACCCATGACACCAAAAAAAAAAAGTTGGGTAAGAAATCAAAATCGAAAGTTACAAAATGCGAACAAGACAGTCATAATCATCAACAAAAATAACAAAATACAATCATCTTAGACAGAAACTCGCAGTCACTTAGTCTTACCGGTTAGCATCGGCCACCAATTATTGTACAAGGCACATGCCTGCAACACCAAACATGACAAGCAAGAAAATTACGATTGACTTGGCCACAAAAATACTCATTAAACAGTAACAAAATTTAAAGGAGATTATAAAAAAAAAGAGCACAAACCAAAATTTGCAACACAATTCCTCCAGAAACCAAAATGGCCAGGAAAGCAAGCTTGCCAGTATGCAAACAGGCACGCATATAGCCCGGTAAGTCCGCCATGGTCTCACCTAATCATCCGTGGAAACAAAGCCTGTTGAAACTTCATTCGTGCAAAAATAGGAAAAAACCCATCAATAATTCAAGCTTAAAACAGTACAAAAACTTGTTATTTAAACGATTTAAATTACAATCTATCACAAACAAAGAGAGGAAAGGAGAGAAAGAGAGGATAATTTAAAATTAGAGAGGGATCAGGGAGAGAAACTAGATTTAAACTAAAATTAAAATTAAGAAGAGAGATTTACGTACTGTTTACCGGGGTTCTAAAATTATTCTCCGACAGACGAAGCAGTAACAGCTTACAAGGAATCGAAACGACACCCTATGGCCTCACCTTTTTGGGTGTGTATGGGTTACAGCCTTGCAGGTACTGAATTTATTATTGTTGTTGCTGTTAATGTTATTGTTATAAATATTATTGAGAAATGATACTGCTAGTTAAAAACTAATTAGATTATTTGTATGATTGTTTGTTGGTGTGGTAGTTTACTGCATGATTGTTGCCTTACCTGCGGGTCTCATCAAATTTTTATTTAATATTAAAAAAATATTTAAGCTATTATATTAAATAAAAAAATTAAAAAAAAACTAATATAAATAATTTCAAAAAAATATAATTTAAATCATGAATCTTGATAATTTTATATAAAAAATAAAAAAAATTATAAAATTAAATTTTTAATTAATTAAATGTTAAATAATAAAATAAAAAAAATATCTTGGAAATAACTTTAAATAAATTATAAAAATCTAAGTTACGAATCTATTAGTGATTTTTTATATATATTTTTTAATTTGATGCTCTTACAACAAAAGATGAAATAAGAATTACTTTATGATTCGAGGTCAACAGCCTAACCCGGAATTCGAGGAAAGCGCCTTGATGTCAAAGAGAGTAAATGCAAAATGTGAACCTTTGGCGGTGGCCTCTCGATTACGAGATCATCTGCTCTCATCCGGAACGACCCTGTTTTATGAAAAAGGTATTAATCTCTGAATCTGATCATGTCTATGATTGTGGATCTTTTCCTATGGATTGATATTGCAAGCAAAACAGTATTCGCTCATGAGTTGACCTCGTTTAGTTGGTTGGTCTAGTGATTGGTTTCCTCTATCCTCGTCTTAGTGAGAGCATTTGGAAGCATTTGTTTCGTAAATTCACCAATTTCTTTCCTGCACTCGAACATTTAGAGACCAATCCCTTCTATTGAATTTCATAGCATTTTTCATTTGTATTGGAGCTCTACTATTCAGTGGTTTCTTTACCTGATAAAAATGCAAGCATTTAATGATCTTAATTTTATAGTGATGATTAATTCAAATCACATAGGTTGAGGAGAAGATCGGCATCCCAAGCTAGTAAAGGATAAATCAAAAGTGCAGTGGGAAGGGGCAAGGTACAAAAGCTGTGTTATTTCCTTTCTCATGCAAACTGCGTCCTCATTGCCCTGTTTTCATTGCTACCAACAATGGGGGTATGCAGAGTACAATTCCAAACAAAATATCTTTAGAGAAAACGGGCTTTTGGGTAACAAAAGACCCTGTGAATGTAAATTAGGACAGATAAATTATAAGAGGATTCCCTGATGCGAGCAAACTCAAGTTACCAAAACTCTGCATTGTGGAACTAATGGCATGATTTACATTAAAATCAATCCAGTTGACCTTGTCATGTTTACATAGCAGTGGCCAAAAAAACATGGGTTACGAAATTAATGAAGGGATCTTTAAATTATTTCTGAAGTGGCACCTTACCAGAACTTGCAGCTGTGTAGTTTGCAGAGTATCTAGCTTTCTGCATCAGCATGCCATGTGTTTTCTCTTTGTTCCGTAGTTGAATGTTCGTTGAGCTAAGGGAGAATGAGGGAAAAAAGGCTAGAGTCAAGCAGATTAAAGTCCAATGATGGCATAAGAGAAAATTTTATAAAGAACGCCATGAGTTGAAGCCTGGTGAGCTCGTAATTTGATGATCTTTGTTTCACAATAGCACTTCATCCTTTGACTTACTGAACTTGGCCTGTTCCCTTTCTCAAGTTGCACCTTTCTGGGATTTCATTTCAAAACACTTCTGAGCTGGGCTGCCGTGTCCTCACTTATGAGCCAAAAACGATCAAATCCTGGCTAACATTTGGGAAGTTCTCCTAGCTCGGGCGTTGAATCAAACTTGTATAAGATGTTTGAGGGATGGAAACACTATAAGAATATTGTCATTACCAACAGCAAGATCAGTTGCAAATGAGCTTCAATGTTTTCTTTTGATTGTTGTTCGGTAACATTTTTTTTTTCAATTTTAGTTTGATTCCAAACCTTTTCAGGTGAAGATTTTCAGGGCGTCCCCGCTACTGACTGCCCTTGAAATTTTCATTTCATAACAGGTTAGTAACCAAATTTTATGTCGGTAAGTTCGTTGCAAATAACACTCATTCTGGTAGTGAAAGTTAGTGTAGGGGATGTTGTTTTTTGATGGAAGAAAACACGATAGAAGAAGGTAAAGCTTTTGTGAGTTCTGGAGAACCTCTTCGAGTTCCATGGATGAGTCAGGCTTTGGAGATTGGGGGGTGTCCTAGCCATACAATTTCTTCTGTCTCTTGATTGTTGCTAATTGTCGGAAACTTAAAACTTCTGTATTGGCATGGGAATTTTCGTTTATAATCTGAAATGTAGCTAGTGCTGTTGGCTTTTTTGCCTTCAGAAATGTAACTTCATTTCCAGAGCTTTTGCAATTGATCCACTCGCAAGAGATTTCGTGTTTTGATCTTTCTCATGAGAGAAGTGGCAGTGCAAGTTACGGCTTCCAATTAGAGTTGGATATATGACTTTTTTAAGTTCTAATAATTGGACTGCATTTCTATGTACACGGAAGCTAAAGATAGTAAAAGTAAAAGTAAAAGAACACAAGATATTTTAAATAGATAAAAGGAGTTGTTTTAAATTCACAAATTTATTCTTTCTAAAAATAATAATAATAAAGTTTGCATCAATTAGGAAATAAAAACAAAAATTCAAAATTATAAAAATAAGAAATATAAAATCCAAAATAACAAGAAATTCAAAAATAAAAAGAATAATAAAAAACCAAAAACTATTAAAAAAAACCCCAGCAAGATTTTTAAAATTTAAAGATTTAATAGTTCACGTGATAACACAGTAACTATGTTATGTAGTGGCTAGTGATTATTATAAGAAAACTAACTTCTAAAATTAATATAAAAATTTAAATATAATTTAACAATTAAATTAAAAATTATGATTTTTTTAAATTGTTATTTTAATATGGTATGACCAAGTCTTTTTTTAATCTTGATCTTTTTCATTCATTTATAAATATATTTATTAGCTTATTCATATAATTTATTCAAGATAAATCTTTATATAATTATAACAAACCCACACCTAACAGGAAAAAATGCATCATGGAACCATCCCGAAAGCAAGAAAAAAAATGGAACATTAATGGCAGCAATTCAATTCAATATGTGATTTTCTGCAAGGATGCTGGCAGCGAGTTGGGCTCCTGATGGATGCAAGTTACTGTAGATGGAGTGGGCAACTGCGTCTCTCAAAAAGACTGGAAAGAGGACCCAAGACTGGATTGCTTACCAACCAAACGCAAAGTGGAGATACCTGCACCATGGAAATAAGTTAAGTTGCCCTTTACATCATGGAATAATGAGAGTCTAAAGCTTTAAATGTATGGAACTGTGGATATGACTTGGAAAATTGATGGAATAGATCCACGAAACCAAGACAACCGTCCAAACCAGTGGGACCACGGCAGGAATTGTAGAAAATAACAGCAGAAAGAAACACCCGTATATGGCAATCCTTATCATCCATAAATATGCCATATGAAAATAATGATAAGAACAACCACAATATAGGGGGGGCTAAGTGTCTCAAGGCCAAAGAAATTGAACTGTTGATTATTTTTAGAAGAAGAAAAAAATCTGGTTTCTAACGATTGGAACATGCGATTGCGAACACAATAATGTGGTCTGAAATTGCTCGGTAACGGAAGTTCCAGAAATCGGATGATCCTGCTAGAACCAGTGTGGTTTTTTTAATAATACAAAATGTTAAGGTTATACATATCATAACTAATCTCTAAATTTATTAAATATTTTATAAATTTAGTAAATAAATAAAACACTATGAAAATAATAAATATAAAAAATTCAAATTCAACTATTAAAACAGGAAATTCTCCACCAAAAATATTAGACAAACTCAAGTGCGTGTCGTTGTATTTCAATTGATGGCATGGTTGAGCTACTAATTATTATTTAAAAAAAAAAAACTTCTAGTTTCTAACTATTAGAACATGCGATGGGGAAGACAATATTGTGGTGTAAAATTGTTTGGTAACAAAAGTTCCAGAAATTGGATGATCCTAGTAAAACCAGTGTGGTCTTTTTAATATTTTGAAATATTTAGACTAGTTTATACACATTATAAGTAATTTTTGAATTCATTAAATATCTTGTAAATCTAAATAAATAAATAAGACAGTACAAGGCTAATATATATATATATCAAACTTAAATATTAAAATAAGAAATTCCCCATCAAAAATACTAGAACACTAATGTGCGTGTCGTTGTATTTTCAATTGATGGCATGGTTGAACTACTGATTAAGGCCAGCAGGATTGCCTCTCTTCTTTTCTACCTGATTTTGACAATTAATGCATTCAAACCTGACCATTGACTGAGAAAAAAACCTACGCGGTGTGGCAAAAGTACTGTGACCGTCGACTAGAACACTGAATTTACACCTTTGCATTTGACCAAAAAAAATAATAATAATAAAAAAACACTTCAACCATGTCATTAGATTCTCTGTGGCTTTGTTCCTCTAGAGTTAGAGCATGTAAGCTGGTTATTGATGAATTGTCGCTGGCAGCGTTTTCTTTTGCTGCCCTTTTTTCTCTCCTTCTTTGAAATTCGTGGGGACCATTTAAAATTCTAGAGAAGTCCTCTTAATTGCTAGTATTTGAATATCAATCTTTATTTGTTTAATTTGTAATTTTTATCCATGGTTCTTTGGTAAGGTTTTTAGTTTTCAATTTCATTATTTAATCTAAGTTTATCAAATTTTTTTCTTGCCCCTTTCAATTGTTTTCAATTTTATCCTTTGTAAAATAAGTTATTTTTTTATTTTTTTAATTTAGTCCTTATTTTTTTGGTGGCTTCTTCTTTTAATTCTTTTGTGAAATTGATTTATTTTTTCAATTTAACCCTTTAATACAAAATTATTCATTTTTTTTTCAAATTTGATTTTTATTTTTTAAATTTCTATTTTTTCTTTTGAATTTGTTTGTATAATTGTTTTTTTTTCAATTTTATTATTATATTTGATTTATTAAAAATTAAAATTTTTAATTTTTATAGGTTTGATGCTTCT